AAACATCTAAAACCTTCCTATAAATACTATGTCATTTGAATAACTGTTTAGATAAAAATATAAGTCCTTAAATATTAAATTACAGCTTCTGCTTTAGTTAAATAAGAATTCTCGACTTTATATGTATGTACGTGATTTTGCAATTTATTTCATAAATGCATGAGTTGTTTACATATTTAGTAAATATGAACGATGCTGGTTTATACATAAGCGAATTAATTAAATAATCGAAATAATTTTAGAAAACAGCATTCGCTATTACTAACGTCTAGGATGAGCCTCTAGCCTTAATAATTTACAGATGATATTAATATTATTCATTTTATGTATTGCCTAGCTTAATATAGTTCTAACTTGAATGTTATCTTTTCACACACTTTTGAGTTTTTATTTCAGTTGTAACTTACGTATCATAATTTCATTGACCTTTTAGGCAGAACGGGCCCACTAGCGGCCCAGCGGTAAAGTCGTCGAACACTCGTAGTTCGGTTCGGGGTTCGAATCACGGCAAAAAGGTCTGACTGCATAGGCATTTTCTTAGCTTTCCCCATCTGTAACGTATATACTAGCTAGTTTCCCCTAGTTTTCTACAAAGTCCGCTTAGGCATGTGGCCTTCGTATGTCTTGCCATAATTAAATAAACCCAGCCAGTATTTCTAGGCAGGATATCCTAACTGAGTTTAGAATGTTCCACTATTTTTTGTCTTTTTAAAGTTTCATGTCAATAAAGATCAATGAAAATTTAAGCTTTTAAAAATAATGCAAGAAATGTTAATAAGAAAGAGCAACATTATTTTCTTTTGTTTGTTGTCAAGTCCAGATTTCATGGAAAAAATGGTTGCCACAGCCTCAAGGATTCCTACTTTACCCCAATTTCGTGGAACAGTAGCCCGGGGATGGTCGAAGGATCTTCCACTCCGCCAAACCACACGAGAGGACTTTCGGTTCACCATATATTTACAGCCCTCATACCATAAAGAAGAATACATTAAAAAAAATGCATGCCTGCTTTTGTGTTTCAAAAGCGGGATCTTCAGTACGGCAGTACTGAAGAAAAAGCATTTGTAAATATACTCACTCATTCGTGTAACTGAGATTTACCAATTATGACAGAAGATGGTAGCCGTATGAAACGAGCAGAATCAGAACTTATATTAGAAACCACGGTGTTTGAATATTTTAGATTGGTAAAAGTACCATTACGTGCTTTAATACCAAAAAACGTATGATAACATTTTCATAAATATTTCTTACTATATACAGTATGCGATAGACGGGAATTAACCTAATTCACTTCATACCTGAGGTAATTAGACGACATATTTTGTGTTGGGCTACAGATCATTCGTCCTTCAAAGAAGTCAAAGTCATAAATTGCTAAAAAATACTGGTAACAGATATTGCACCGCTTAAGGATTCATCCTTAGATACTTATGTCTCAGAAGTTTCACATTACTACAGTATGAAGTGAATATATATACCTTAACACAAAAGCTAAGTTTTTGGAGGAAAAAAAAAGACTCGAGATTTTGTCTGGTATGTTCAAAATATAACTGACTTTAAAATGTGTGGACATGTTGATACGAAGCTGAGAAGTTATTTACATTCTTGGTCTGAAGTTCTTCTTTTCCTGAATTTTTCTCGAAACTCGGAAGCAAATAGAAGTTTTTATACCTCCAAAAGTAAAAGAATAATGGAAAAAAAAAAAAGACTGGTTTTACTAACACACTCTTACTTTGCAATTTTTTTTTGTTGGTAAATAAATGAGGTGTTTCTAGACAGAAAATGTGGAAAAATGTTTCCTTGAAATATCGCTTTGTAAGGCATTTTCTTTTTTTTTTTTTTGTTCCGTTATGTTTACTCAGCTCGTAGGACAAGAATTGTGATAAATCATGTTACGTAAGAGAAATAAAAAATAGTTTAAATGCAATTTTTGCTTTAAACGAAACTTCTAATACCTGACATAAGTTTTTATTTTTCGATTATTTTACAATCTTAAAGTTTTTATACTCTAAAAGAAGGAAAAGAAGAAAGTATAAAATAAATTTAGAAACGAAAATTTAGCTTAACAAAAATATTAGGCACTCCACAGCACCCATGCGTAAGCTTAAAAAACATATGTCATACTAATTTCACAACTGAAAATTGCTAAAATGCTGATTTGTTTATAAAAGTTTCCTAAATTCTTTTATTAGCAAACGGTGAAATTATACAGTGATATTTTATGGTAACTTAAAAATTTTGTTTGTTTGTAAAATTTTTGTTTATTTGCAGGTGCACAAATAAATGATCGAAATAGAAAATTAATTGTAAGTAAATCTGAATATCGCAGCTACTGCTTTCATTTATTAGTCACAAAATACATTCCAAAATAATTTTCACTTGAAAATTTAATTTAAATTTTAAGACAAAATATAAGAATATTAAAATAAAATATATTAGATAAACCAGGATGAAAAATTTTTGAATAATACTTTTCCTCTTTTCATTCTTCTTTTACTTCCTTGTAAGAAGTAAAGAAGGTATTGTAATCACGAAAAATATCGGGTACCATATTTAAACTAAAATATTCATTTTGACCGCTATCGGATGCAATTTAATCAATGGTTTCGCGTGACATTCTGTACGTAAGGACAGAATAAAGGAACGTTCGTAAATTGGGTATTTTATGCTTTAAAAATAATTGAGTTATGTTGTTTTTATCTTACGGTTTTACTGCCTTAAATTAACCAGCGTAATTGCCTTAAATTAATACCTTAAATTAACTGCCTTAAGTTAACCAGCGTACAATAATTGTAGCATTATCAACAATTTAAAAGTTGTTTCAGTGTGGCTAAGCCTAATTTTTGTTTACCATAGCAACCACAGTTGTTTACATTTGAAACTTAACAGAATAGTGGATTTGTTGCCAATCTAGAGAAACTAAGCTTCGCAAGAACAAAGATAACGTCTTCTTTTATTATTGCGAATTAAATCAGGCTTAATATATAATAAATTTATTATTTAATTTATTAAATTATCTCATATATAGCGTCCACAATAAATTAAGTGAGTTTCTACGGCTTCGGTGTCTTTTTGCCGACTGAGACCAAAAGTAAACTTTCGATTTTGTGCACTGAAAATTCTGCTTTTTTGCCCGCTGGCAAAATTTCTTGTTTTTGCGTATGAACACTAATTTTAATTAAAAAATTGTTCTTTTAATTGCTTTAACTGTATTTATGTCTTATTACATTTTTTTAAACTTTTAATAAAAATATTTTGAGTTTTCTGTATTTTTGCCTTGTCGAAGTGAGTAATTGGATGAGAAATATATATCTCTAATGAAATTCGAGGAAATAAGTTTAAACAAAATGCAGGAAAACATTTTCCCCCTGTAATCATTAGAAGGTCATCATACAAAAGCAATGTTAGCACGCTGAAATAATTTCAAAATTAAGTAGTATTGTTATAAAGGAGTTTATTTACCTCTCTGCGTAGGGCTACCATATAAGTTCTTTCTTAAATGGTATATATTTATAAATAGCAGAAAATATCGCATAGTGCGAAATTTATATCATATCTATCAAAATCAAAATTAAACATTATGAAATGCTATCACAGAAATCTTAGGACAGTACATTAACAGTAGGAAGCATTTTACATTCAGAAATTCGTGAAATTTAATCGTGAAATTTTCAGTTGCAGCATATGTACAATTATATTTGTTTTGTCATTTTCTGTAAATCTTCGTATTCTCTAGCTCAAATTCTATTCAATTTTAAGTTTCTTAGATTTACAAACACGTCTAGTTGCGAAATAATTATTAATTTACAGAATTCTCGAAATTGCTACAAAGAAATTAAATAAACTGCAGGCCATTTCGATTTCAGTAGTAGTTATAAAATAGTCTATAAACTACTCCGAATTCTGAAATCTTAGAATCTCATTTTATAATATAATTTCAATGGAATTGTTATTGAGTAACGTATATAACATGAAAATGAAAAATAATTGGAACTTTAAGCCAAATATTAATTGTACCAAATCTAAATACCAAAGTTATCTAAACCTATCAATAATCTAAAGATAGATTATGCTAGATCTATCGATATATTACTTTTAAATTATCTAAATCTATTGATAGATCATGTTTAAATCTATCAATAATCTAAAGACCAAATCTACCTAAATTTATCGATGATCTACTGATCAAATCTGTTTAAATCTATCAATAATCTATAGACCAAATCTCTATAATTCTATCGATAATCTAAACTCCAAATCTATTTAAATCTATCGAACAATCTAAAGACCAAATCTATCTAAATTTATCGATGATTTACTGATCAAATCTCTCTAAATCTATCAATAATCTATACACCAAATCTATATAATTCTATCGATAATCTAAAGACCAAATCTATTTAAATCTATGGAACAGTCTAAAGACCAAATCTACATAAATTTATCGATGATCTATTTTCTAAAACTATCAATAATCTATACACCAAATCTATATAATTCTATCGATAATCTAAAGACCAAATCTATTTAAATCTATGGAACAGTCTAAAGACCAAATCTACATAAATTTATCGATGATCTATTTTCTAAATCTATCAATAATCTAAAGACCAAATCTTACTGGCAGTATCAATTAAAGTAATCTAAAAATCAATCATCCACCATTCTCAGCTGCAAAACCGCAAATGAACAAGATAGGAAATAATGTGAGTACTGCGAAAGTCCTGTGAAAACTTTGAAAATATAATGTGATTTTTGTTGTTTGACTTCTGAATTAGTATTTGTTCGGCGTGTTATTGTGTCTTAAGTTAAAGATATTTTTAAATTTAGATTCATTAAATGAACGTTAACGTTAAATGCACGTTAAATATGGACCCCAAGATCGCCTCTATTATTACATGTGCATAAAAAAGTATATTTTTACAGTCTTTAAATTGCATAGAAATCTTTAGAAATGCAGCTATAAACTGTCGCAAGAAAGAAATATATGACGTTACCTATAGTGGTGAGCGTGATGAAACAGTAATAAAAAGAGTCGAAGTAATCCCATCTTTCGTATTTGGAAAAGGCTGCAGCTCCCGTCGTCATGACGACAGTGGAGAGGATGGAGATGAGACAGATGAGATTTGTCTCTGAGACTTCAGTGTTCCTCATCCTCAGTCCTCTCTTTAAGTTCTTAAGCACAAATGCTACAAATGTGTTGAGACGTTCCCCAATGCTCTGAAATACCACGAGTCCCAACGGAATACCAGCCAGAGCGTAGAACATGCAGAAGGTCTTGCCACCCCAAGTTGCAGGTGTGGAGTGTCCGTAGCCTAAAAGATAAACGCATAGAGTTGTTATAAATGATACAGATAGTAATGAATATATTAAAGTCTTATAGCTTTGAAAATAGTTTGCATAAAAAACCAAATATGAGAGAAAGAGACCATTTAACAGGCAGCTGATTATTTTTTCCACAACGGTCAGTTTATAAATTCCAAAAATTCAGTCTTAATAGATTACTTACTGTTAGTTGCAGGCTAACAAGATTTTTGTTAATTGCAGTCTGAACAGTTTATCGTTAATTGAAGTCGCAGGTAAGAATAAAGTAGTTTCCATGTCTATTTTCTCTTTTGATAATCGTAGCAACTGGCTGTTATTATCAATTACCTGTTTCTTTTATGCGGACTAATTCATTGTAAAATGTGTTCACAATGAGACAATTTTGAAATTTATTCGATAAGAGTTTTAAAATATCAGTACATGGAAAATTGAAATTGCATACAAATGAGCACCTCAAAACGAATGCTAGTATTATCTCTGATTTAATTGCTGATACGATTTGATGATTATTGTAGAAAATTCTGAAGATCATTAATTAAATTACTTACAAAATTTAGAATTATGTTTTAAACATCTGCCTATAACGGGTATTGAGTTTTTATTCTTATAAAGTTAACTCAGATAGTGTTGTAAGCAGATAAGAATGTATGTATGATTCGTTTCCTTAATGTTTAAAGTTCTAAATTTAAAAAAATAATTCTTTACTGGTACTGAGTTACGTATGATAACATATCTGAGCACTGTTAAATAAAAAAGGCAATTCTATATCTTGAAGTTCTTTGTTATCTTTAGTACATTGACTAAATCTGAAATAATATAAAAAAATGAAAGCTTTTGCGCACAAAGCGCATTATTTTAACTTACAAACATAAACAGGTTTTGAGAGCTTATGAGGTATTTTCTCCCGCTTTCCTAGCGTGCCTTCGTGGTGTAGTAGTTCTGTACGCTGGGTCGGTATTCCAGAGGTCCGTGGTTCGATTCCCGGCGAAGGAATTACTAATTTTTCATCTCGCCTGCTTCCAAAAAATACGTAATGTTTCTACAGTGGCGCCCGAATTAAAAAGGGTGGTGGATGATGATTCTCCACACTCAGGATTTGGCGACTAGGTCTCCTAAAACCCTAGTTGCCCTTTAAAAAGGGGAGTATATATGGCATTTTCTCTCGCTTTCCTAGCGTGCCTACGTGTGTAGTGGTTCTGCACACTGGGCCGGTATTCCAGAGGTCCGTGGTTCGATTCCCGGCGAAAGCGGTTGCTAATGTTTTATCTCTGCGGCTTTTCCAATTTACGTAATGTACAAGCTTTAGGGACAAAAATATTAAAAAAAGGGTATTTCTGGAATTTCTGATCACTGTTCCTACATCTCGCTTTGAAATGTTCAGTTTTGTTTTATCAAAATGTCGTTAACGTTTTTTAAACCATGAAACAGGTAATAAAATAATTTGAAATTCAAAATTCGGGCTTTCAGCTGCCACGTTCGAATGGATGACTACATTATTCGAAATTTCATGGGTCTAAGTACCGTTGTTTTATCACAGTGTAAAAAAATACATAAATTCATAAAGATTCTTAATTATTCAATTTCTTTAAACATTATATAGGGCGATAATATTTGGTGGCATCAATCTGAAAAGTTATTCAACGCAAAATGACTAACAACCCTTCTGGGCTAACACTCCCCTTTTAGACTGGCAATGAACAAAACACGTATTCCTTCTTTAAAATTACATTTCAATCCTAATTTTTAGAAAACATATATTATTATTATTAATGTATTAAATTTCACTTAATGACCCAGGACACTGAAATCTGATTTATTGAATTATTAAAGTCTTCATGATTTTTAGCTAATTTTTTAAATTTTTCTTGCCAACGGAAATTTAATAGCAACTTCTATCATTTCAATGTAAAATAACTATTAACACTATTACAAATAAATTAAATTATTCGAGAAATGTCTCGTAACTAACGAGGAATATTTTTTTCAGACAGAAATGTATAGAGTAAACATTATTTAAGAACAGAGTAAACGAAATTTGAATGACTATTTCACGAAATTTCAAGATAAATTGAATTTTGTCAATAATTTTGTACAAGCTGTATAAGAAGCATTCAAGAGAGACCATCTTTCAATCAAAATGGCGTGATCTGATGCGCTTCAGAATTGTACAGACGATTCTTGGGCAGTACTATAAGGACTAACACCAGATTTTCCTACATCCTCCTCATATTATGAGTTTGAACTAACGCATGAACTAAGCGGTTTGGAGAAAAACAAGCTTCTACTTTGGCATATTTACAGATTTGTGTTTCATGGTTATAGCAAAGCGTTTCATATTACACCATTTAGAATCAGTATTTAAAAGTATTTTTGAAGAAACTTTTTTAACACATTTTCAGAAAGCTTAATTTTAGTATATTTTCAACCATCAAAACGTAGCAGAATATTAAAAAAAAACGTTCTTATTATCTAAGAAAGACATGATCTCTGAAAGATGCATCATAAGCAAGCGTTAAGTACATAACTGGTACGAGAGTCTTTATTTCATTAATATTATGCGGAGAGTATTTCCTATGACCATAAAACCTTTCATTGTTACGCACTGCGCCAAACCTCAAGTTAAATACTCTTCAAAAGGCTTCCTATAAGTTTTAAGCTCAGCTCACTTTCACGGGTTAGAATGGTGTGAGAAGCTTTAGGTGTCAACGGGCAAGTACGTTTAACCTTTCTAGATGGTCGGCAAGATTCGTCTAAGTAACCATCTTATGCCATTTGTAGAAAACACTGGAGGACAGAATTGGTGCAACAGCGATATAATGCTCTATTCATATATCTAATGCTACAAAATTTACTTAGGGAAAATATCCCTGTTCTTGAGTGACTATCAATGAAAACCGATTTTAACCTGGTCAAGTATGTGTGGGGTAGTATGTCTTGGAGAATTTACGAGAATGAAAGGAAGATTTATTCGGTGAATGCCTTAAAAGCAGCCATTGAGAGTGCGTGGTACAGGTTGGAACAAGAGTTATTACAAAACGTAATTCTCTCAATGGAGAAATCGTATTCGACGTCATAATGGGGACGACCTTGATGTATTAAGTAATTTGAAACTCATCGTAAGTTGTTAAAATGTTATTAATATTCTATAATGTTTTGGGACGCATATTCTTCTGCGTTTTTTTTTTCTAAGATACAAACTGGTATTTTATTTGAATATTTTGACAACTTTAAGTCGAATGCCACGTAAATAAATTTAGTTTTATTTGGTGCGTGTGTTCCTTTCCATTTTTCTAAAACAGATAATATAGTTGAGTCTATAAACTTTTGGGACAGAGTGTAGATCTAATATTTTCTTTATTTATGGACTTTATTTACTGGCTAGATTGGGCGGCCTTACCTTCTTAAATATCCGCTGATATTTACTTCTGGTCCTTGCATTTCTTTCTGTACTTCTGAAGGAAAAATCAATCATTTCACTGTATTTCTATGTATGAAACATTTTATTAATTGTATACTGAAGCATATATATGCACACGCCCTTGTTTGGCCACGTCAATACCACATATTCTCCATTAATATATTTCCGATGCAGCCCTTTCAGGAAGTCGCCAGGGTTGTGTTGTTCTAAATAGGTGCGGGTACCGGACGACACCCGATTTGTCATATTAAGCCGTCCGGGTGTCCGGGTCCTGCATTCACCTGTCACCTGTATTTCATGTTTTTCAAAATAATGCATCATATTAGAAATTTAAAGGGCCTTCTTAAATGCTGCTTGCAGATTAGCATACTCCTGTGTGCAGAAGCGTAAAAGAGTTGTGTTTAGTAGCATCTGAGTATGCTTTGATATTCGTAAGAGTTATATTTTTCAGCTCTCAAGGTCTAGGATATCAAGATAACTGCTAAGGATCATATATTATATTGAGGTAATAAAACCTGGTTCCATGACTTTCAAAATAGCTTACATAATATAGAAAAAAAAATATTTTCTTTCTAATGAGAAAAGAAAACGCGGTATTAATGCATTGATTCGTTTTTAAAGAAAAGACTAAAATGTGGATTTTAGCAGCTAAATGATGTGATGACCACAAATCTTTCTAAAAATATGTATTAATACTTGTATCTGGAGCTAACATGTCATTCAATATCAGAAGCGTTTTCACATTTTATGGAAATCACTGTCTATAATATAACATGACAACTGAAATCTTAATAGTATTTTCTCAGTTCATTAATTACCTTTTAATTAGTTTTACAGCCCGTTTACGTTTTAAATACATTTCTGTTTCAAATTGAAGATACCAATTTTTTGTACAGTAAAAAAGTCCTTTAAATAGCAAAAATGTCAAAATTCTTAACAGTAATATTCTTAATGTGTTGTACATTAATATGGTGGTCGACCCATATCCACAAAGATAATGTTATTTACCTTTCTTTTTTATTGGCTTTTGTGAACATGTGAACTTCTATGTCCATATGATGTTATTTCTTTTAATGCATTATTTGCGTGTGAAAATATAGGAACATAATATTTAATGCAAAGCTTATCATAGGCTAGTAAGTCGTTTGGAAATATTGTCTTGTTCAAAATATTACCACCTGAAAAGTCAAAAATTACGAAATGATAATTGCCTTATAAAATATTTGCATGGACTTACGTTTGGCTTGCAACGATTTTGTGCCCTATTCTACATCTTCTACAATTATACATAAATTAAGAAATTAAAAGAAGCAGTTCTATTTATTTTTACGATATTCATAAATAACTACAAAATTAAATAAGCTAAGAAATCGTTTTATGCAGAAAAATCTTCATTAAATGAATTATAAATTTTTATCTGAATTACTTTTCTTGCTCTTAGTCTATGAAATGCAAGAAATGAAAAAAATATAGTTCTAAAACATTAATTTGCAAATGAGTTGTATCTTTATGGCGCAACAGTTAACTTCTTTTTATTTAATGGTGAAACCAAATTGCGTAAAAATTCTTCAATGCAAATTTTGATTATCCATTAAAGAAGTATTCTGAGAAAACAGTTTAAAAATGATTTAATTATAAGCCCAATCACAAAAAAAAAAAAAAAAAAAAAAAAAAAAAAATGAGAAGTTTTGAGATGCATATTTTAGAACGGAATAAGAAAATCTCTTAATTTATTTGAAAATGTTTACTAGAAATCCGTAGCTAAGAGCTTATTTTGTCATAAATATTCCAAAGAAAATGAGTTGATAATGAAAGCTAAGCTACATGATGCGGTCTAAAGTTTCAATACCTTAATTTAGGATAATTTATAATGCATTAAAATTAATCCTTCCCATCTTTAATTCCGAAGTAAATAAAACTATTATTCTAGGAAAAATGAAATACGGTATAAATAATTCAGAAATTTAAATAAAACATGAATTTGTTTTTGCAGTTCCCAAGCCCATTTTCGATATAAAATATTTTATTTAATACATGAGTTTTTATTTTAACTTTAATTAATGTTTTAAAATTTGACTTTACTTGAGGATTTCTTTCAAATGCTTGTAGGGTTTATATTTATTTTAACTAACATTTATTTTAAGTTTAAGCTATCTTTCCTGTCAAGCCTTTACTTTCCCCTGGAATTGCCAATGCCAGAGTATGTAAATTGTAGTAGAACGCGCAGAGTATTCAAATTTTTAGCAGAAGTAATTTTGAATTAAATAGATGGGAAACGAGTTTGTAAGTGTGCTTCTTGATTCACGAGCGTGAAGGTTGCTTGGTAGAAATTTAAGAACCGCGCGTTTCGGCCTGTGTGCCTACTTCGGCAGTTAGTTGAATCTTCCAACTTCTTATTCAGAAAGTTTGCTGAAATCTCAGCTGTATCTTAGAACGCGGTTAAGTTAGTCACGTTTATAGAGCCTCGTAGGTAGTGACTTGTTATTTATTCATCCTGTTATTTATTTTTAGTTGTACTTTTCTATTTTTATTTAACCGCCGGGTCGGCGTAGTTTGTGAGCCTCAAGTGAACGCATCTGTAACTTCTAAAGTGGAATAAAAAGGGAGTTAAATTCATTTTCTTATTTATTTTTACTTTTTCTGCAGCAATACTGTAAGGATCTTAAGTTTTACTAACGTTTATTTTATTTTAAATCTTTACTATCACTTCTTATTTTCTACTTCCGGCCAGAATTATAAGCGTTAAGGTTTTTATGCAAAGTTTGTCTGGCGAACGCTAAGTATTTAAGTTGTGGCTTTTTGCCAAGCGAGAGAGAGAAAGCAGTGAGTCGAAGCAGGCCGCTTACCTTAGAAGTTACGCAGTTGTCTGTTGCCTTCCAGGCCAGAGGTTTTAATCCTCTTGATAAATTTTAAACGTATTGCAGTGTTCACAGCTCCCTGTACTATATACGCTTCCTGTTAATATAAGGCCAATCTTCCACGTTTATTATTCTAAAGTTAAATTAGAGTTTAGTTTTATTTTTATACTTTTACGTTTTGACCCCAAGTAGCCGGTCGGTGTATTCCGAAGTACGGAAAAAGTCATTGTAAATAGAGAAAAATAAAGGGTTTTGTATACCCTTCTTGTGTATCCTGTTTACTTCCCACAGTTTTAAACATAGCTTTAGTAAGCTATCTGTTCCGAGTCAGGTCCTTGCATGTTCCCGAAGAAGGTTAGAAGGAACATTGGCCCTAATAGTGGTGGCGCCCAACGAAGAGAAGAATAATCATGGCCGAGTTTCAAGAAGAACCTGTGCTGCCTGCAGCAAACGGCTCAGAATCCAGAAATGCCAGCTTGCCTGCCCTAGAAGGATTTGGTTACGTCGTCCAGACCATGAGCGCTTCGATGAAACCAGCAAGCAATCTTTGAATGGAAACTCACCTGTGACCAAGTTTTTTGGAAAAATTGGATGACCACTTCATGCTATATCCCGTCTATGAGTTTCAGAAACGTCACCTTAGCTAGCAGCGCTTTGAGGGGCCAAGCGCTTAAATGGTTCAAATGTATAGGAAGAAAGCTCTTGGGTCAAGCAGGAAGTCCCACCTATACTTAGGAAAATTTCAAGACTGCCTTAGTAAAAGCCTTCCCTGTCGTACGAAATCGTGCCGAAATTGGAAGCGGAACTCTTTAGCATATATCAACAGTAACGAATCGAAAATCTCTCAAGCTTTATTTCAAGAAAAATTCACGTCTTTCAAGCTCTTGTATGGAAGCCGGTCCGGATCCTGAAGATAATACAAGTGATTTTGCCGAGGTTACTTCCCCAAGTACAAGACTTTATTGAATCAAGGAATCCGACTACATTGGAAAAGTTATTTGAGCTAGCAATCCAGTTTGAAAGTAGAAGAACGGGGACGTCGAAAGAAGACGCCAATATCAACAGCGAAACCAATTTGGTACGCCAAGAATACAGCAAACTCAAGCACACGGCTACGGAGAAAAAGCGAATCAGTGGGCAAGGAAACCCGAGCATTCAAAACAGCCGGCGAACGTCGACAGTTCAATAGCAACCCAGGAAAAAAGTCTCAAGGCCATGGAAAAAGAAGGAAAGCATGGAAACAAAAAGGATTTAAACTAAACGGATTTCTGCTGACGGGAGGGTGCGGAAATCCGAAGGCCACGAAAACCCCTCTTCCTACAAGTTAAATACAGTAATGGTGAAAAATTTGACTCTTCCGAAGATTGAAGTGTTGGTGATCAATATCCCAGCCACCGCACTCCTGGATACAGGCGCGCAGTGTTCCTGTGTGGCAGAAGATTTTTTTTAGGAAGTATTTTCGCAAATACCGTATATATAATTCGGATAATACGACAGTGTTAGCGGCGCAAGGAGAAAAATGTAAGTGCATAGGTAAAGTACCGTTGTATATCCGTATCAAGGACGAACAAGTAAAGGTGATGTTTTTATAGTAAAGAATCTGCAAGCACATTAATCTTAGGAATAGATTTCCTTTCAGACGCACAAGCAACACTGGATTTTAATCAAGCGTCCCTTAAGCTGACAATGAAACCAGTGCGTGCAGAAAAGGCTGAACCGCCGATGTTAAAACTTGACCACCTCCCTAATGACGAGCAAGGAAGAATCCGACAAGTGGTAAGTGAATTTGCTTCGTTATTTAGTGATATTCCAGGATTTACTCAGGTTACTAACCATAGTATTGACACCGGAGATGCAATGCCAGTTCGTCAAAAACCATACCGGTATGATAAGAATAAGGAAAAAATTATAGAATGGCATATCACCGGTATGCTACGTAAAAAGATCATAACGCCCATCTCAAGTAGTTATGCTAACCCGGTGGTTTTATGTAAAAAAAATAATGACTATCCTTTGACACTTCCGAAAAGGTGGAGATTCGCGATTGATTACCGTAAATTAAACTCCATAACTAAATTTCCGGTATATCCGTTACCGATCATAGAAGAAATTCTAAGGAACATAAAATCAACCAAATTTATGACGACTTTATACTTAACGACTGGTTATTTTCAAATAGGGGTTAGGCCTGAGGACGTGCCTAAGACTGCTTTTATAACCAAGTCTGGCACTTATGCATTTTTGCGTATGCCGTTTGGCCTTTCAGGGTCCCCAGCAACATTTCAGCGATGCATGGACATTGTGTTAAGACCTGTTTTTGGAAAGTCCACATTTATCTATTTAGACGATATCATTATTACTAGTGATAATCTCGACCAACATGTACAGGATTTAAGACAGGTGTTTTCTTTATTAAATGAAACCGGTCTAAAAGTTAATGTCGAAAAGTGCAAATTTGCAACCCCTGAATTAAAATATTTAGGTTACAAAATATCTCAAAAAGGAATCGAGACAGACGAATAAAAAATAATCGCTGTACAAAAGTATCCGACTCCAAACACGACAAAGAAGCTCTCTTCTTTTCTAGGACTTTGTTCATATTATAGGTCCTTTATAAAAGATTTTGCAGCTATCGCGGAGCCATTGTTGAAATGAAAAAGAAAAAAGGCAAGATTCTCGTGGACGGCGGCCGAAGCCAATAGTGCTTTCGAAAAAATTAAAACAAGCATTAACGCAAGCCCCTGTGTTGAAATTTCCTGAAAAGGATGAAAATTTAGAAATTTCAGTGGATGATTCGGATTATGCGGTAGGAGCGGTTCTTTCGCAAAATCAGCAGCCCGTGGCATTTTTTAGCCGAACTTTAATCAAAACACAAAGAAACTATTCCGCGACCGAGAGAGAGGCACTTGCAGTTCTGTTAGCAGTGCAAAAGTTCCGAGTCTATTTTGGAAAGGCGCCGATAACAGTGTACTGTGATCATGCGGCGGTAACTAGATTGTACTCAGGGAAAAATTTATCCCCAAGGTTAATAAGATGGGCACTCAAGCTGCAAGAATATAATCTGGTAATCAAGCATACCCCCGGAAATGAAAATATCGTAGCAGATGCCCTATCAAGAATTAAAATAGATGAACAAGGTAATACCGTAAAGGTGGCAATGCTCACGCATGTACAAAATTCCCGAGAAACTGTATAACCGAACTGGGTAAGGATCCTGAGTTTGGAAGCATTTATGAGTATTTGAAGGATCCTGAAAGTTTTAGCCACCAAGAATATTGTGGCGATAGAAATAGGGCGGCCCATTACGAACTAATAGA